CATCGTACATAAGCCCTTTTTTACCTTTATTTGATAGCTCCCCCCCTTTATCGATATGTTTGTTCATGTATGTAATATGTTGATGGGTAGTTTGTATCATTTTATCATTGTATTTGTGCTTGAATCTTGGTGAGTTTGTTTATTTGTATATGTGTACGGGTGGGTGATTGCTTGTATTTGGTTTTACTTGTATACGCTTGTTTTCGGATGTAATTTCTTTTTACGTTTTTTTTTGTTTGTTCTTTTTCATTTTTATCATCTTTTTGTTCTTTATTTTTACTTTTATTTTCCTTTTTTCTTTTTTCCTTTTTCCCCTTCTTGTTTTTCTTTCTTTTTTCTCTCTTTCGTTTTCTTCTCCTGTTTCCTGTGTCGTTCTTATATTTGCGTGCATTTATGTCATACTTATGTGTCTGTGTATTAGGATGCGAATGTGTTTGTCGTGTCATCTGTATAATCTCACTCGCGCCTAATGTTTGTAGCGTTTATTGATACTTTTCACATCAGCGTCAAATTTACCGAATAATTTGGCACATAGATAAGAATATATATATATATATATATATATATATATATATATATATATATATATATATTTATACGTTTCATTAAATAATATAGACAAGTGTTGTCTATTTATTTTATGTAAAATTTTTTCGTATCTTCTGATAAATTTGGTAACATTATCATTAACCGAAAAAAAGAAATTCACAATATTTATCCATTATTTTTTAATAAAATCTAAGCTTTCGGCTTACTCAAGCCATTATCAAAGATGTAATTACAAACATATCAAACAATATACGGACACGACAGTGATGATAGTCTGTCATTGTTTTGTTTACATAGTGGATCACTAACAACGATGAACACGCGCATATAAGACGCTAGAAGCGAAAATCGCACTGGCATCTCATGACGTCACACATGACTACACGACAGTGAATTGTAGAATGAAATAAGGAAAGCCGTTGGTATAAACCAATGGCTTCTGTTACCAATTATAGAAATTATAGACATTTAAGAATATTTGTAGAGATTCCATAGTTGATTTTTGTTTAGGTTGGGTTTTAACTGTTTGATGTATAATGCTTCAAGTATTTTTTAGTTTTTGTCTATTGTTTTCATGTCGAAGTATAGTTGTGTTTTCGACAAGTATTTTACGGAATTGTGTGTGCGGGCAGGCATGTTGTTTTAAATGCCTAAAAAATGTTAGAGTTTTCATTAAAATGTAGTGTCAAGCGTCGTGAAAGCCAGTTTGTGGTGTGACCAACATAAATATTATTTAATTCGTTGGAGATACACTCTCCCAAAGGGCACTTGAATTTATAAACTATGTTGGTTTTTGCAAATCTCTAACGGGGGGAGAAGAATCATTATGGAAGTATTAAGTTGGATATACTAGATTTAGTGTAGTATATGATTAATTTAATTTTTTGCTAGGATCTGTAGTTGATATATTAGAATTTACTAAATTTTTTTAGTATGTGTTCATATATATTTCTTTTCCTCCGTTCTATAATTGAATAACTTTTAAACCTAATGGTCGGTTTAATTTAGAATTTGAAATTTTAATTTTACCGTGAAATTAAAACTTAATTATTTCATATTGATTTCTAGTTTGATCTCACATTAAATTTTATCGACTAACGGTTTATATTTAGAATACACTGTCACGTGTTTTTGAATTTTCATATACCTGCGTTCCGATTGGTCGTCATATATTACGTAACAAGGTTTCACCTATTGAGCGGGTTTTATTTGGTTTTGAATTTTCCAAAAAACTCTTTATTTCGCAAGTAGTGATGTTATAACATGCTTATGTTATAATTTTTAAATATATATATATATATATATATATATATATATATATATATTTGAATAAACGCTTAAAATTAAGCCACACACTCAATATACTTCTATATTAGTGGAAGCATCGTGATCACAATCTCGACTTGGAAAATGCCGGTTTGATAATTTATTCAGATGAAGATGAATTGAAAGTGTCCGGTCTACGAATCCGCCCCACCCCCGATTAATATACGGCCGGGATTTTTTCAGTTTGTTTTCTGTCCTTACTAAATTCATGTATATGTTGAAGAAAAAAAAGTATCCAGTCACGACAGAGTTTAAAATCGCTTACGCGGCCTTCCGGCTGATGAATTATTCTCCATCGTCCGAACCTTATTCCACATTTGAAACATCACCAGCCTTTCACTTCTATATTAGGTATTACTATGGCAGATGTTTATTCCTTAGAGCTACTAGCATGGACCTTCACAGCTAAGACAACCCCCATGACATGTTCCCGGTGGAAAACCATCGCCATTCACTTTGTGTTCCTTTGATAAAAAGCAAGTTCCACTCGGATAGCTTCTTCCCTAGAACTATTACTTTGTCGATCAAACTCCTGAGAGAATGCTTCCCTGACAATTATAGTTTTGGCTTCTTTAAGTCTATGATCAATCAATATCCATCCTATTAGTCTTCATAATACCCTCTTACTTCTGTGTGTGTGTGTGTGTGTGTGTGTGTGTGTGTGTGTGAATGTATACCAGAATACAAACAAAAATATCACGATCACGAGCACCGCGACCCATTAGAATCTTAAGACTACCAGATGTACTGCAGTTGTAGCAGCAGTGGTGTGTCATAGCCTGACGATGTCAAACTCTCTCCCGGTTGATTTAAATTCAGAATTTCCATCTCCTAGGCTAGTTACCAACCAAGGCTATAGAGTCCAGTAAAGTTACTTATCGCAAATTAATTCACACCAAGAAATTATGAATTTTAAATCAAAGTCTGTTTTTTTATTAAATTTTTGACACCCTTTTTAAATGATAAACTCAGTAACCTTCTACCTTGAGTAACAATTGGGCATTGTATTGGGTGAACAAATAAAAAATAAATAAAAAGTGAGGTTAAATTAGTTAAAATCCAATTTCTCTAACGATACAGTTAAAGTAATTTCTAAGGAATTAATGGATTTTTATTTATAATCCGACCTTATTTCATACGCTATATTTGGTGGATGCACGTGTTTGAGTAGACGTCTCTGTTTATAAAGAGTATAATCCTCATCCACCGGTTTCGGTTTTTCAAGAGTTCTGATGTTTGATCATCATATGACACACCACTGCTGCTACAACTGTAGTACATCTGATAGTCTTAAGATTCTAATGGGTCGCGGTGCTCGTGATCGTGATATTTTTCTTTGTATTCGGGTATACATTCACACACACGCACGCACGCACGCACGCACGCACACACACACACACACACACACACACACACACACACACACACACACACACACACACACACACACAGAGTATTATGAAGACGAATAGGATGGATATTGATTGATCATAGACTTAAAGAAGCCAAAACTGTAATTGTTTGGATGTTGGAAGTTGGCTGGGCCAAGTAATTTTCCGCATCCATTCATATATTCAGTGGATAATTAAAAAATTATAACGTTGGAATTTAAGCTTGTAAACTTTTTTTTTTGTTTTCATGGAAAGAAATTAGTAAAAACATTAGTCGAAAACATGTTATATCACCTGGAGATTGTTCGAGTGGAAGGTCGTAACCCGAAAACAATGTATATAATTGAGGCATTTAAATTGAATGGATGAACATCACTTTTGCGAAACAGTTCATATTCAATAATGATAGACAACCTTATTGTTAATCATCAGTTTTTCTCATGATTGCTGGAAGAAATCGTTAGAAAAAAAGTTTCTTTTTTTTATTAAATGGAAGCAATGAAATTTCACGTTTTATTTAAGAAAAACAAACGTACATTCTTAATCAATACTCTTATATGCATTGATATCTTAAAACAGTAAATTGAGCGAGGAAGGCAACCATAATTATTAAGAATAATATTAAGAAAGAAAAAGTGGGGAAGAATCATCAATATTTTAGTATTTGTGAGCGTATTTCATTTAACGAAGAAGCAGGCAGAGAAAAATTGCTTGGAAGAGGAAAAAATTGTTTGAAAGTGGGATAAAATTGCTTGAAAGAGGCTAAAAAATGCTTGGGAATATTGCTTAGAAGAGGAAGAATTATTAGGTTGGTGCAAAAATAATGACGCAATAATGTCGTTTTTTGACGTTAAAAAATACGTCAAAAACGACATTATTACGTCATTATTTTGGCACCAACCTAATATTTGAAACTGGAAAAATTACTTGGAAGATGTAAAATATTCCTTGGAAAAATTGATTAGAAGAAAAAAAATATTTGAAAATGAAAAAAATTATTTGGAAGTTATAAAGATGCTTAGAAGAGAAAACAAATGAAGAAAATTATAAAAAAAATGAGGAAGTTAAAATAAAATATTGTGTTTTGTTTTTAAGAAATTATTGAATTTTAAAGCTCAGAAGCAAATTATTTTTCAAGAGTTATAAAAATATCAATTAAAAAAATAATCTTTACTGTCTTCTGCAAAGCATATGTTTTTTTCTCTCTCCTCCTTACGAATATCCAAACCTGATGTGTGTGCTTTAATGTTTTTGGAGATAAAATTTAAAACCTTTTTTTTTAATATTAATTTGAATGATAGCGAATTTTTTTTTCAGAATTTGCGAATTTTGATGATAATGATTTTTTTTTAAAATCCAGTGTCTTTTTCTTTATTTTTCTTCTTTTGGTTTACATTTATTTTTTTTTTATAAGGTAATACCCAAAGGTTCAGGGAATTTGAACAGTTTACGCAATCAATTCATCAAGTTATCCAAAGTTTCGTTGGGCACTTAACACGTCTCTGAAAATCACTTCAGTATGAAATAATGAAATTCATTTTCTATCAATCTTTTACTTCTTTTGAAGAAGCCACTTCGCGTCTTAAGTTCCCCGAACTTTTGGGTAGCACTTCGTATCAATTTTACGCTTGATTTTCATTGTTTCTTATTGTGAAGCCCTTCGTATTATTGGACATCACAGTCACGTGGTAGGCGGAAAGTCTATTATTAATGAATCAAACTTTAGCGGATGCATCATCTGTTAAGTTGGTTGAATTGTGGTGTATACGTCTCGTCTTGAGTTCTAATAGAGGGCCGATCTCTTCGGTTTGCCTGATCAACTTTCATCGATATACTTTGGCTTGGCGTTGACTGCTGTCGCATCAGTCTTGTGTACCTGCGTACAAACGCCCTGCGGAGGGTACTATTCTTATCTGTATGTCTCCCTTTCTGACGATTCCGACTCCTTTTCGACGGACCAAATCCACGATCTTTGTCTGTTCGTCGAGATGATGCCCGTTCGTCAAAGGCCAGATTTCCGTTGGAAGCAGTGTAGCCCATGTTGTCGTATACGGCTGGGAAGAGAGGGTCTAAGTTTGTAAGCACAGTGGTTGTTGTACCCCGGCCTGAGGACCCAAAAATTCCACTGCAGTTTAGAGGATCGATGTCTGAAAGTGCACTACTTCGGTGAAGGTTACTCTTACTGTCTTGCGAGCTGGAGTAGTCGAGGTCTTGATCTGTGTCATCATCAATTCCGTAAAGCCTTTGGAGCACGCGCGCGTATTCTACAGCCTCTTCAATGTGCTTCTTCGGGTCGTATCGCTTCCGGCAGCAGCGAAGCTCGGTTGACGCTAAGATATGCAAAAGAGTACCGTATCGATGCCTCAGCATAGCCCCGAACTGCAGAATGAGGATGAAGGCAAAAAACACAAGGAATACCAAACCTAGAGGTTCGATGGGTAGAGGATCTTGACCAGGTCTTGGAATCGGGATGCTTACCTTGTCTTTGACGCTTTGAAGCATGAAGATAATAATCATCCAAAAAGCATTCAGCATAAAAAAGGCAAAGGCAACGTTGTTACGCATTGATTTTAAGTCAGTGGCAACTTGAGCCTGATGGTTTTTATCGACGGAAATCGGGTGTAGATATTTGGCGATGCACTGCTGCCAGAAACCGATTTCATGTTCAGGCAAATATTTGATTTCTCCATTACCCAAGCTGACATCCTCCAGCCATTTCGGGTTGACCAGTGGGTCCCTTATTTCTTCCAGTTCCAAATCTTCATCTGTGCTTGTCGTATCGTCACCACTCTCGTCATTTCCCATGTCTTCCTCTTCAATATTTCCAATGTTGGAGCGACGTGAACGTCTCGAGCGAGATGAGGATCCTCGTCGTCGAGATCCGTTCGTTGAAGTGTTCACTGACTTGACCCCTGCTTCGACTTTGTCAAGTTTCTCCATGACGCATCGCAGGATCTCTGTATTGACATCTGTGTTGTGTCGTCCGCCACAGAGACGCCGAAAGAATCGTACAATGCTTGGACAACAGGTGTCTTCCTCTTCCTTCCGGACTAGCCATGACATAAGGCTACTCTTTGGGGAGACTTTCTCTTTTTCGGGATCAGGCCTGTTTACCTGAGCCGCTTTTTCCCTGGTTCCCCAAGAAACCACATGCATATTACACATAGCGTAAACAATTAAAAGGACATAACCAGATGGAATGCAGAGGAAATACAAGGCTCCTGATAACAAACACAAAAACTCTTGTGGATGAAACATGGCGGATATTATGAAGACAGCAAGCAGAATAAGTAAAAATATAGCATTGGGGCTGACAAATGTGTCCTCAACAACCTGTACCATTGTTCCAACTATGACGGACATCATTAACAGAGAATAGACAGCACTAAGAATGGCGCCAATGGTCAACTGGTAATCGGATTTAAGAATAAAACACATGACAAGATAGACAACTGTGGGCCCGACTGCTAAGAGATACGACTGCCAAAGGCTGGTGTGCATGACAGCGTTGAAGGCACCTGCCATCATTAAAAGTACAGTGGCCGGTCCGAGTGTCGTGGACAGCATGAGTGCTGCTTGGTATGCTATATAAAGATACGATATATTATCGTTCATCTTGACTGTTGTCCGGTAACTTTGCAAGAGATCCATGATATTGGCCAAAGTGGACGGAATCCAACGTCGACGTTGGTTGAAGAATTCTTTGAAACCTTCTGGTGTTTGGGTCATGGCATCAGAGGCGGCACAGTACTCGACACGGTATCCCTGCTGTAGGAGCAAAGTACTTAACCATCGGTCTTCACCTGAAGTCAAAAAAAAAAAAAAAACAGTTAAAATTCATGTAAGATCAATTGTGATCACATGAGATATATTTGATATGGAAAATATTTTTAAATTTAAAATGACTTCAATAAATATTGAATATTCATACCCTAAAGTAATATTACATTCTACTAGTACAGTAATGTATATTGATTAATGACGCTTTCTCAGTGGTCAGTGGATCAGGTAAATCGATTTATCGGCCCCTCTGGCTCTGATGAGTAATGCTCTGTGAAATTTTGAAGTCAGTCAATGGATAAGTTGATTCAAGTTTTATTAATGTGTTGATCATACGTACAAACATACTATCCATCCATCCATACATACCACCCATCCAGGGGGCGCAAGAGTAGGTATACAGTAACAGAACGTGCACGAAAAACGCATTGCATTAATTATACAGACATCAATAATAATACTTACTGTATAACTACATTTGCAGCCCCTGTATATCTATCTATCTATCTATCTATCTATCTATCTATCTATCTATCTATCTATCTATCTATCTATCTATATATATATATGTATGTGTATATATATATATATATATATTGTGTGTATTTAGGCAGCACATTTTCATTTATACACGTTTCATTAAATAATATAGACAAGTGTTGTCTATTTATTTTATGTAAAATTTTTTCGTATCTTCTGATAAGTTTGGTAACATTATCATTAACCGAAAAAATTCCTGTACTAGTAGAATGTAATATTACTTTAGGGTATTTTTTCGGTTAATGATAATGTTACCAAACTTATCAGAAGATTCGAAAAAATTTTACATAAAATAAATAGACAACACTTGTCTATATTATTTAATGAAACGTGTAAAAATATATATATATATATATATATATATATATATATATATATATATATATATATATATATATATATATATATATATATATACAATTATTAGTTTTGTTTGGGTTAAGGAGAAATAACCTTTTGTCTCTCGCTAGAGATTCTTATTTGGAGAATGTAAGGCAAAAAGTAACAATGCAGTTTTGAAAAAAATTAAAGGATATTTCTGAATTTTGGAGTGAATTTTAGTAAATATAAATCTTTTTATATTGAGGGGAATTAATATTAACAGAAAAGATCCCAGAGTTCAATTGAAAGAGAGTGAAAAGCAAGGAATATACCTGTAACTTGTCAGAAAAGTTATGGAATATGAATGTAGCTATCGTGTCCAACAATACAGAAACGGTTGGGCAGTCCTAAAGAGCCTTGTAAAAACAGCTTATCCAAACTTAAAAACAGCATTACCAAACTTAGCAAAAATACTTAGGAGGGTGCTGGAGTATTGAGGAGAGGTGGCCCACCAAATAATACAGTTGTATACATCGGATACAAACGAATAACTCATAAAACGCGAATAAAGAAGAAACTTGTGAATTGAAACCGTTCCTCGCGTTAATAAGTATTTTTTTCAGTTACTTACCTTGATCATATTGCAAATAGTGCCTGGCTTCAGTTGATTTAGTGGCGTATGTTCTCATCACGTTATCATCCATAAGGGCAGACCCCCGAAATAAACTAAAGCAACCAGGACTGCAAAGTACGCAACCCAGCATGTGTTCGGCAGCTTTCTGCAGCCAATGACCCACAGCATATTCAAAGATTTGATACCAAACCATGGGACCTGCAAGTAAACAAAACCATCATTTCTTAGGCGTGACAGCGAATTTTGCTATCGCTGAAATACAGAGAAGAATAGAAATACGAAAAAGATCTTATAATTGGATTTTTTAATGTGTTTAAATAAGGTATTTTTTGGTTGAACCCATAACAATGTTTACTATGTGTATAACAGACTTTAATTTCTACTAACGGACCAGAAGAGTAGGTTTCTAAAAATGCACACTCAACCAAACAATCTTTTCTCAATTATATTGGCATGCCAATAAGAAGACATCACCTCATGATGTCTGACGATAGGACAGAAACGGGGAGAAGTGGATTCATGTCTTTCCAACAAATATTAGTGCAAAGTGAATATAACCAGACAGATGAAATTAGAACTTGGTTCAGACTCAGTTATAATTAGAAATGTGACTTTGATTTTTTTTTCATAAGGTTTTATCGGACATTTGAAAATACAATTAATTTCATATCATTTTAAACTATATTTTAGTGGATACACATGTTGGAGTAGACGCCATTTCTTTAAAAAAAAACAGTGTGAATAACATCTTCCGGCCTGTGCATTTGAGAGTCATGATAAAGAGAAAGTGGCTTTCGGCATGGTTCAAACCTTTGCCTCCTTTGTAGGAGAAGCCATCGTCTGATCCGGCGTCCTTTAGGCATCATTTCCAGAAAGCATACAGCTAAGCAAGGTTCAATTACCCTTTCAAAGAATGCTCAACTGTTCTCGAAAAGCCTATATCTGCCTGAAAGTCTGATGATTATCTGTTAATTTTATTTTCCTATCCGAAACGTAAACAAAGGAATTAATGGATTAAAAAAATAATCTGACATTATTTTTTATTACTATAAACATTACATTTTAGTGGATACACGTGTTTGAATCGACGCCCTGTTTCCTTCGCCTCCTTAAAAAAAAATAAATGTATTTATTAGACTGACCTGAACCAGCGGGATGGATTCGTCCACAAGCGGCTCCTACTTTTTTGCTTTTCTTCATGCGATCGACTAAAAGTTGGACAGCTCCAGGTTTGAAATCAACGTCCCCATCCAACGCCAAGATATACGTGTTCTCAGCCTAAAAGTATAAAGTAACTGTTCTTTTTGTTTCCTCTTTTATTCCAGCAGACACGGTTTGAAGAAAAGAAAGGCGGAGAAATGAGGTATAGGAAGAATAGAAATAAAAATATTACAGATGTGTATTGAACAAATAAATGAGAGAAATGGACACAAAAAGTAGATCGAGAAACACAATATTATGAATGAAGATTTATTGCTTGCTAACTACAGATATAACAATAAACTTCAATACAATATATATATATATATATATATATATATATATATATATATATATATATGTATAGATAGATAGATAGAGAGAGAGAGAGAGAGAGAGAGAAGAGAGAGTTTATTGGGGCAACAGATCCTTACTAAAACATATATTGTTAAATATATCAGACAGTGAATGTCTATTATATTTAATCATAAGCCGTTCTAAAGGTCGTATGTTTGCTTTAATTTCGGGTGAAAATAAAGACAAGAAATGACCAAGGAACAACATTATAAAAAACATAGAAATGGACAATTTTTATCTTTATTTTTATTCGAGATTAGAGCAAATATACGAAGTTTAGAATGGCTCATGACCAAACATAATAGACATTCATTGTCTGTTATATTTAACAATATTATAAAATGGATTAAGTTCGACAGTTATTTATTATATTTTTGTTTATACTTTATTTTGACAGATAAAATTTATTTAAGTAAATGCACTGTTTAAATAAACATTATTAATTACATTTACCGGCCTGAATGTTAGAGATATTTTGTTGAAAATATTGTTGGAGAACGCATATTTTCTACAAAATTTCTCGAACATTCAGGCCTGTAAATTACTATATGCCTACTTTTTTATCTCTCTCTCTCTCTAAATAATATATATATATATATATATATATATATATATATATATATAGAGAGAGAGAGAGAGAGATGAAGATGACTATATTAGAAAAAGGGAAATGAACAGATTAAAAAATTCGGGCATAGAGATAATTATGATCAAACTAAGTTTTATTTGTTTAGCAGTATATCAACTTCTTATAGGTCATTTAATGCTGAAATTTAATTGAAATATTTTTTACACAATTTTATTGTTAAGTATATTTTGAAAGCAATTGTATGTCTTCAACTACAGATAAAATGTATTGTTGGCCATTTTGCTTTAATATAGTATTGTGGTTAACTATTTTATATAAATATGTATTGTTGGAATTTTTTTCATATAAATATGTATTTTTATGCTTTCATAGTGCTTTATTTTTGTTTGGAGGTTTACTATTTGTCCATAGCTGGGACTAAGAGCTGCTTCCACTCCGGGCCAGGGTGGATCTAGAAACAACATTAATTAAAAGGTGGTTCCACGCTCCTCAAAACTTCCAATCTCTCGATCAGAGGCATTGCTGCCGGATGTAATTTATCGTCATGGCCAGGACTACCAAACTGAGATAGATAGATAGAACTGAAGAAATAAAGATGAGTAAAGATAATGAAATGAGGAGGAACGAAGAAAAAGTAATGAAAGAGAAAAGATAAATGAGTTAAAGAAAATAGAATAACACAATAATATAATGAATGGAACGCAAAAAATGAATATTAAAAGGAAGAAAGGAAAGAAAAAAAAAAGAGGTGAGAATATTTTGCATCCTTTGCATCGACTCACCTGAACAAGAGTTTTTTCTGGAATGTGTTTGAAGATATTCCCCTTAATAAAATGCGCGGGAGATTGTTTCCATTTTTCCCTCTGAATCGCCTGTTGGCTGCTGTTATTCTGTGTACTATCCTCTTGTTGCCCGAGGAGACGATAACCAAGGAGATAATACATATACATTACCTAAAACCGGACAAAAAAAATGAAATATTTCTGTAATTATGACAAGTTACATTACACTTTTTGATCAAAATATCGCGCGTTAATTGGGTTACTATGTTTGGTATTTCTTGCGCCAACGGAGATTACTCGATAATGGCCATCACCTTTTCAAGTAATGGTTGGATAGGATTACATATCACCAGTAGCAGCGTTGAGTAATCCCTGGATTGACCTATTCCGGATAGGTGGGTTCATGTCTTTCCCAAAGGCATTAGTACGAAATGAACATTGAACTACTTCAGCCCAAAATTGAAACTCATTTGTCTGAATTTGTTTTTCTTGTTATTTGTCATTAGATCAACTGCAAACTTCCTTAAATCATCCGATATATATATATATATATATATATATATATATATATATATATATATTATGAAAATGGACTAAGTCCGACAATTATTTTAATACATTTTCTGTTTATACGTTATTTTTATAGACACAAATATTTAAGTAAATGCTCTGTTTATAACAAACAGTGTTAGCAACATTTACCGGTCTGAATGTCCGAGAAATTTAATAGAAAATATGTGTCCTCCGATAGGAATCGAACCTGTATCCTACATGGAACCGTCACATAACCTGATGTGCTATACCATTTAGCTACAGAGGAAGCGTCTGGTTAGCCAGGTTGAATTACTGTTTTTAAACTACACATTTCCCATGATTTCTCTCGAACGCTCATATCTGTTCGAAGTTAATCCATTGTAGGGAAACGGCTATTATTACAGTTACCATTAATACATAATCTTTTGATAATTACCAGTTTTAGATAATAGTTACAAATATCTGTCTTTCATTTGGAGTAATGACCAAGCCAGACCAAAACAGCATCCATTGTGTATTGACCCCCAGTGCAAGATTTCAGTGTTCGAGCCCAGGTAAAATCAAGATTTCAAAGTACGTACACAGTCACATGTTGTTGACAGAGTATGACTTTTAAATGTTCCCATACGTTTGGATGCGTGTAAAATCTGCGTTTTATAGCTTTATTATCTATTGCTATGGTGTACCTATCAGTCATTTATTACCTGTGACCATCGTTTCTTTCGACGACTCATTTCTCTGTCTTTGATGTGCGCTATGAGACAGTTGCCACCGGGCAGATTCCATACGAGGCGGCCACCGTACGGCGTTGGGATGCGCACCGGATGAATCAACGACAACTCGCTCTCGTGAATTGCACTGAAGAATAAGAAAAAAATAGACAAGTATATAAGTTTTCTGAACAAGAAATGGCATCGTTGAATAATAAAAAAAACATGAAACTGATTGATTTACTTTTTATGTCGGGATTTCAAACCCGACTGTTTTGGGGAAAGGGAAGGTAGAAAAACAATTAGCATTTAAAGCGAAACTCAACGAAGAAAGAAATGATAACGAATTCTTACTTGTTACTAGTGTAATCTCGCGGTGGCAATCATTTTCGTACAAAGAATTGCAGCTAAAAAAGTCTTTATGTTGCCTACAAGTAACCCTCCTTGTAGAAGTAACGTTGGAAAAAAAGAGTTAAGACTCTTATTAATAGTTTCGGTAACACATCCAGTGAGTTTCGAAAAACAGAGCATGGTCTCCATGAAGGAAGAAAAAAAAAGCTGTTACTACCTTGGCTAATTAAGTTTTGCATTTTTATATCTCTCTTCGAACATATATGCAAATTTTAACTCCCCCTCAATTAAATGGTGTTGACTGGAACCCATTTCAATAAATCTTCTGTGAAGATGAAATAATATAATGAAAGATATTTTCGTCACAAGATTACAGTTGAATTCTATCATTTCTCCCCTTCGCTAAGATAAGTGCATGAAGTTTCTAGATTTACGGCTTATCAACACTTTGTGGTTGATTTAAAAGCGAAACTTTATTTGGATTGTAAGAATAATTATTTTCTTGCGAGTGAATATAGCATTTAAATTTTTGCGAATAATAATAATAATAGTTTTTCAGATATTATATATAATATCCTACTATTTAACCCCTAGCTGGTGGAAAGAGATGAATTCATACCTTTTGCGCGTAAGTTAATGTAATGAAATCGACTGGAAATTGAACTCGGCTCTCCGAGTTCCGAGCCCTTTTCCATTACACCACCTGCACATTAATAATATCCCAAAAATAATCTGTTGTATTAAGTCGTTTGGAAAGCAATTTATAATTTAAATTGTTTTAAATCTATTTTCATTTTTACGGTCACTCAATTACCCATAATCCTGAAAGGACGTGACCCATAAAAAGAAAAAGATTATTTCTTTTTAATTAAAGAAATTCATTGAACCATGCAAAAAAGAAAGAAAAACAACAACAAAAAAAAAACAAAACAAAAAAAAGAAAGAAAAACAAACAAACTACGCTGCAATAAATTCATAGCTTCACTCACATCGAGTTATGCTCACAGGTACGTAACATTTGATAATGTTTGAACAAGAGAAAATGTTCTTGCCATTCGGTTAACAACACAGAAAATTTGAAATATCTGAAGATCGACGTGGCGAGTTCAAATTACGATGGAGATAGTTTAGATTTACTTCGTACCAATGCTCTTGAGAAACACATGAATTCATCTCGTCTAACCTCTGCCGGCTATCGAGTAAATAACATAGTAAACTTGACTCTCTACCTTTGATTGACAATAAGTCTAGGAGAAGGAAAACCCTGAATCGCAAAGCAGTAGTGGTATTCATTGCTTCACTTCAGATTCGGGTAAAAATGGTAAAAAGTCGGAGTAACCCTACCCCGTACAAAAAATACCCCCCAAAAAAAAACAAAACAACAAAAAACAAACTTCTAGCTCAAATATTGTCGGCGCTCAAGCTAACGAACTGATCGAATCCAGGATCAAGCTTTGAGCCGAGATACACACAAACCACTGTTTTCAGCATTTGCAACAAGATTCAGTCTATAACCAAATAATGACTTCTATGTGGATACTCTGTAGTTTGTTGGTTAAGTCCGACAAATACTTGTAACACAAAACTATATTTATCCATTTAAAATTATATAGGAAGTACATTAAATTGTAATGAACTGATGTCCGTTGAATTTATACAAACTATGTTTGTATAAAGCAAGAGTATTTGAAATTTTTGTTGGTTATTGTACAAACCTAACAGATATCACGAATGTAGCCAGCCGTGTTTAACTTGTCCTTTTGAATTCTTCTCTTCGTCCAATTTATTTTATAAAGAGTGTTTTGCACTTGAAGTGTTCGTATAAGACAATGTGTAATCAACCATTGCTATTTTCACAGGCTTTTATAAATAGACATTACTGTTGGTTATTGTGTAAAGTGGCCCGAAAAATCCACATAGGCGTTGTTATATTTTTTGTAGAATATATATACATATATATATATATATATATATATATATATATATATATATATATATATAATGCCTGTGTGTTTGAGTGCGTGCGTGTGTGTAAACATTAATCGTAAAGTAGAATAAAAACAATGCGAAGAAGTAGAAGTGGAGTTGGATAATAATAATAATAATAATAATAATAATAATAATAATAATAATAATAATAATAATAATAATAATGGGCTGAGAAATGTAAGAGGAAAAGGGTTGTGTTTGAAGAAAAGGACGGAAAGGGAGAAGAGTTGATTGGCAACATCACGGAGTTGTGTAAAATACATCACTTCATGTGGAATGACAAAGGTTTCCAGATATTGTTCAAAGGACAGCGAATAATGTCGCAGTGTAATATATAAAATAAAACAAAATAATAAAAAATAAAAGATTAAAATGTGAGTAAACCATAATAATACATTTGAAAGATATCTTTTTTTTTTTAATTTTCGTTTTAACGTGAATCAATTTATTTTTAGTGATCCCCGACCCCAACAAGCAAGGCAATAATGCCACTAAGACGCAAGGTGTTACTAGAAGTGGAAGAGAATGGGGAAACCGAGTAGAGCAAATACATGTTCATGGAAGCAGGGCAGTCTAATCATAAATAATTGGGCGAAGTAATATTGAATTTAAGTGAATAGTTGCCCCTAGATACACACACACGTACACACACGCGAGCGCACACACACAGACAAACACACACATATATTGATTTGTTAGGTTTGTCATGAGGGACTGCTTTTCTAGTTTGTAATATTTTATGACAACCATCAGCCTTTTCAGTGATTGTTGACAACTGAGTTCCATATTCAGTGCGAAACAAAAGGCTCTCACACACACACACACACACACACACACACACACACACACACACACACACACACACACACATATATATATATATATATACGCATCATATATATATATATATATATATATGGAGAGAGAGAGAGAGAGAGAGAGAGAGAAAGAGAGAGAGAGAGAAAGAGAGAGAATACCGTGTTTGAGATTATGGTTACTTTTATTAATAGATGGTTGCTTTTGTTGAATGTAAATAGCTTAAATGATTTTTAGTCATTTTTGCTATTGGATTTAATGAGTACTCTAGTATTGTTAGAGACGAGCTGTCTAATGTACTAGTTATCGTAGTGCTTATACACACACACACACACACACACACACACACACACACACACACATATATATATATATATATAGTCTTCGCCAAAAATATATACACACTTCAGGAAAGGAAAAGTTATAATATCTGTTTTTTAGGTATATGTCGATAATAAAAATAATAATAAGCAAAAATAAAAAAATAAAGAAAAATAATAATAATAATAAATAATAATAATAATAATAATAATAATAATAATAACAAAAATAAAATGAATGTTATAGATTAAGAAAATCAAATCAATTCATAATTTAAAGTATAGTTGGTGTAGGGAAGAAGACCACATAAAGGATCATATCGAGATATTCTTATGTGTATGTATGTATGGATATGCATATGTGTTTATGTATAGTTGTTTGTGTTTTTGTATATGTGTATGCGGATATATATATATATATATATATATATATATATGTTTATGTGTGTAGTTTATGCGTATATGCATATGTGTACATGTATGTATATGTGCGTATATATATGTGCGTATGTATGTATGCCTATGTGTATATGTGTATGTATATGGATGTGTATATATATATATATATATATATATATATATATGTGTGTGTGTGTTTTATTTATGTTTATATATATATATGTATTTGCAATTTTGTTTTTAGTTACTTAAAATGGTCCTTTACTTATCTCTAAATTGATTTAATCAAAGTCTTATATTAAATTTTTTTCTTTCTTTACTTTTATGTAAAATTTTCTAATAGTAATATTTCATTATTATTATTATCATCATCATCATTATTTTTTTAAATTACAATGGTTATAATGCGATGACAATGTTCCGCTACCTGAAATGAATAGACACCTCAATGTATCCTCTTTGAATATGAACACTCATTTTTTACTTATCATGTCCAGGAGAGAAGACGTATATTCTAGGTCAACCCGTGAACTACTTAACACTTTTCTTTTCCTCCCTTACTCTCTTTTCCTTTTCACCTCCCCACCTCACTTTGAAATCTCTGTCTTTCCCCTCTTATTTTTAAACCGTTTTCCTTTTCTCTTTTCTTCCTCTTCCACCATTTTTTTTGTCTAGATAAATTTAAACTACATTTATTTTTTGTAAAATTTTGTCCTGAAGAGATGGGCGCCTGATGCCATGAAATAAATTATAACCTAAATGGATTTCTAAGACTCCGCTTTCATTATTATATTTGCTCTGTTCTTACATAGAGCTCTCTTTGGATTTATATCCTCCTTGGAATTATCCCTACTAATTATCAAGATATGATATTATATATATATATATATATATATATATATATATATATATATATATATATATATATGAGAACCACGAGAACTATAAGGGGGACAATAATACTGTCGCCTGACATAGTTATTATTTGTTATTATTTCTTTTAACTGAAATCTTAACTGTTCACTGATGAGCTAAATGACTTGTGTCGTGTAGTACAGCATCTATGAATGGATGCAAATGGTCAAAAAATAGTTCAATGTAGCAGTGACTGCTCAATCACATATTTAGACGGACTATAGGTTTTTTGAAAATCACAAGGACTTTTCAAACCTAGTTACCTCCCCTGACGTGTACATCGTGAAATTTAAATTGTACAGTACATAACTTTAGTGTTTTTACATTACAGTTTAAAAAATGTAACATTCAGATAAACACGACAATTTTGTTTTAGAAAAAAACAAACACACACACACCCTGATGAGGACATTGTGCTAATGTCGAAATGACTCGGAATAAATGAATATGTATCAACATTTTGATTTTCTCTCTTCCTTTAATAATGATACTAAGAAGCTTGTCAGTGAATATGAGAGGATCCTATTGAAAATAAGTAAACAAAACTTGTCTAAATTATTCAATGAGTCATGTCTTATATATATATATATATATATATATATATATATATATATATATATATATGTCTTTTTCGATGTATGACGGTTCAAAAGAATGTTCCGATCTTAATGTCCTACTTGTATTTGTCCCTTCGATATTTTTATGTCCAGCTTGAGACGCACACAATATTCCATACAGGATAAGGAACAGCTTATCTTGTGAAGGTTGCAGGAATGTTAGAGCGGTTTTTCGTGTGTCTTGTTTTGTTTTGTTTCTATCTATCTATCTATCTATCTATCTATCTATCTATCTATCTATCAGCACACATACACATACGTATATGTGCGAAGAGAAGCGAAGAGTTCTTTCTTCAACTCATTTCCCTAAATCTGATCAAAACCCATCAGTTTTTTTGGAACGGCTCCTTGATCGGGTCGAGAACTTTTCCAGCACGCCATCATATATACATTTAGAGGACTATATGTGTCAGAGAGGTAAGAAAGCAACTAAACTAAAATAAATAACTGAATCAATAGACACGACAGACAGGTTACCAAGTTGATAGATAGATAGATAGGTGGTTTAAAAAATGTAACACCTTTGTTGATTTCATGTGTCACTGGATCAAATGATAACGTGATAACCTAGTCAACATCATTAGCTCAAGTAACCACACGAATCGGACGACGATGACGGACCAGACAGGTTACTCATTTATTTGCAGATCGTCTTCGGGGTCGTACGAAAGAGCACTATGCACATGGGTATCAGCGATTTAAACAAAAAATGATAGTCGGAGTTGGGAAGTATGTCTATGTTTGGCGAGTAGACAAGATAGTACTCGATTAATGTCAACTATGCTGTCTGCCACCCGTCTTTTCACACCATTACTAGATGAGCAACTGCTATAGATCCTTCAAGTCGCGTCACGTTTTACATGTTGAACTATGACACTTGAGGATGTAGCTTCGTGTTAGAGCCTGGGACGCGCCTTTTAAAGGACATATATTTCTGACTGTTTTTTTACAATGATGTTTACCATGTACAAGCCCCGAGGACCACTCGAGGTAGAGGGTTACACAGCTTGTGTGGATATGTGTGTGATATAGCGGTTAACTCTAGACTTGAACAGGTTGAGGATGTAGTCATCGAGGAAGCATCCTCCCGGGAGTAGGTTGTCACAAGAAATCTTCATCTCACCAAAGGAATACGACAAGAATGAGGGTGGTTCGATACAATATAAGGGACATGGCGGGTCTTAGCCATGAAAGTTTGGACTGGTGGAATTAAAAAGTGTAGTTCATCTGAACTCTTTCCATAGAAATAGCGATAGAGAAGCGAGAGGCTTGTGACATCTCGTCTGTAAGAAAGAGGTTCTAGGGTGGAAAATATTGAACTCCATCGAGAGTGGAAAGTGAAGATTGGATAGCTCATGCCCATATATGGCAGCAGTACTCCATTTTCGGTCTGATCCTGGCTCTTGTAAAGGTAGAGGATAATAAGAGGAATACGTACTTGCTGCATGATTAGAGGTTTTAACACGTACATGGTTTATTTTGGTGAATTACGGTATGCTTCAGTAAATATCTTGTTCAGTACCAAAGATTTGCCTGACAGTGGCCTGACCTTAACCAGCTGGGCAGATCCCCTAGGTGTGGACGCACTGTGCATCTCAGTTCATGAACACATAGTGGTAGGGTATCATGGTCACTTTCCAAAAGGTTTTATTTTTTTAAGTTTCAAGGATGAAGAAGGTAATGCCACTAGGAAGTCACATCTAGATACTTACGAACACCTTCAATCGGACTGGGTTACCTGACCTGAAGTGTTTCCAAATGAGTCACACCTACAATATTATGTTCTGCTTTATCAAAAAATTTCTACATATCGCGTACATTTTGGATACTGTGACGTGTAATGGTTCGCAAGCATAACCCTAGACTTGAACAGGTTAAGATTTTAGTGATCAGGGAAGCAGACTATTGGGAGTTGTTTCCACAAGGCAGCGGTTAGTGGGAAGAAACTGCTTGAGTGGAACTTACATCTCACCAGGGAGATATGAAGGGAATGAGGGTGGTTCGCAACAATGTGCGTGACATTACGTTTTCATCGCCGTGTGAAGGTTAGGACTGATGGTAGTAAGGAGTGTAGATCATCTGAACACTCGCCATGGAAATAGCGATGGAGCAGCGTTTCGTCTGTGAGAAAGGGGTTGTAGGGTGGAAAATAATTTGTCACTCACATGCGGAGACGCTTTTGGCTCCTACCCATATATGGCAGCAGTACTCCATTTTCGGTCTGACCCTGACTTCATTGAATTGTTTTGCTCGTAAATGTTACTAGAGGGAAATATATGATTCCATACATGGGCCACTTTGAAATTGTTCGCAATTATGACTGAATAGTGAGTTTGATCGTCACTGAGTGTCTCATAATTTCGGCCTTGTGCCACATGTAAGCTAGGCTTACAAAATCACCATACAAACGCACTGATCATCTGTATGGCTGTTATGCTCTATGGCCTTCTTCCGGTGTCTTTCGAGCAGGGTGAACTTCAGAGAATTTCGAAAGTGAACCATTTACGATTGTTTCTGCCCCACTATCCATGTCTAGGGATAACTAATCTTGTTATTTTTAGTAATTTTCAGTTATTATTCGCTGAGTAATTCCACTGAGTTTAAGCCTGTACTGCCTGATCCAGGGATTGAACTCACAATTACTATATCACCAGTTTCTTAATCAAGAATTTTTCGGATCTCCCGTAGCCAATTTTGTTTTGATAATTTCACCCCAAGCAAGGCGATAATGCCACTAAGACGTAAGATGTTACTAGGAGCGGAAGAGAATGAAAAAACTTAAGTGAGGAGAAGGGACAATAATAGAACAGAATTCAGGAAGACATAAGATGGCGATTGACGTTGCATTTAAATTTTTGAAGATTGTATGGAAAACAAGATAACGGAAGAGAGTTTCACAGGCGAGAAAAGTGAGAAACGAAAGTATTAGAATAGATCTTATGGTTACACCTAACTATTTCAACAGTAAAACAATGAGACCTATTAGCTAATCTAGTAGTACACTTAAATTCATGGTTCGAACCTGCGTTTACTTTGGAGTGGAAACTACCGTATAGCCTGGCGTGCTCTTTCTCTTTCTGTAGTAGTTACTGACGCGTTTCGTCCAATGAGGACTTTCTCAAAGCAAAAAACGAACTGAATTTAATTAAACAAATAACTAATAATAATAAAAAACAGAATGTTCTGAGCAACTGGGTAATATTCTATGGCGGCACTCTCTAGAATTTTAGAGAGTGCCGCCATAGAATATTATCCAAATATCAAACTACGCCCTGGCCTTTTCCCTATTTCACCTTTCGTTCTTTGCTTTGAGAAAGTCCACATTGGACGAAACGCGTCAGTAACTACTACAGTTTTCCGATTTGTCATTTATACATATATATATATATATATATATATATATATATATATATATATAATCATTGGCGATAATGCCACTACGATGCAAGTAGTTACTAGGTGTGAAAGAGAATGTGAAGAATAATGAACGGAAGAACAATAAATCAACAGGACTCGAGAAAACAGAAGATGGCGATTGATATTGCTTTTAAATTTTTGAAGATTGTACGTAGCAAGGAAGCAATAGAATGGATTGCTGGTTATGGAGTAGAGAATATATCTAACATTTTGCATGAGGAATTCTACCCATTATTCAACAGTGATGTATACAGTAAAATGACATTAAAATTACACGTTCCTGAAATAAAAATTAACAATCTATCTATCTATCTATCTATCTATCTATCTATCTATCTATCTATCTATCTATCAGATCGGGATCGTAGTGTCATTGTGAAATCCACGATCGTTTAAATGACTGCATAGCATGCGTACTTCATCAGGGCTACATATTGTTTTGAATTTAGAGATTTCCCTTCTTCTAGACTGATGCCAACCATGGCTAGGGATCCTAGCTGGGGACATGTCGGTCTAGGTGACATTCATGAAATTTTGATTAGAACTACCTGTTATTATTTTGACAAAACTGAATCTTTAGAAATTAAGATGAAAATCCTTTACCCAGTCGTATTTGATATTTTTTTTACCATTAAATTAAGAAGAATAAAATTCTATTTTTTATTTCTTGTTGAGAGAAGTTCTTTTTTTAAAAAATCATTTCACTCCAAGCAAGGCAATAAAACCACTAAGATGCAATGAGTGTGAGAAAATATAAAAAAACAAAATCACTATTAAGGAGCGAGAGGACAATAAAAGAACAGGAATTAAGAATATAGAAGAAAACGATTGACATTGCATTTAAATTTTTGAAAATTAAAGCTGACTGGAAAGCAAGAAGCTGGAAGAGTGTTCCACAAGGGAGAAGTGTAAAAGAAAATGTTAACATAGAACTCACATTTACATCTAGCTATTTCAACTGTAACATTTATACCAATCTAGTATGAGGCTTAAATTCATAAAGTCTAGGTACCATGAAGGAAAGTTCATCAGAATAATTACCCTGAAAGTATTTATAGAAAACGCACAGCGAAGCTACGTTATGGCGTTGGACCAGTTTAGGACCAATAATCTATTACCAGTATACTCGGACTATGAGAAAATGACGATAGTATTTAATTTAGCGATTTAATTCTTTATATTTTCTGCATTAATAACTAAAGACTTTTATCTATAGAATCTATTTTCATCTATTGTTGCATGTGTGAAAACATTCTACTTTTTAAATCCTTAAAGGTAAAAAAAAATATCCAGACAAAGCTAACACGAAAGAAAACAAAACAATATATTAACAACCTGTACATCTTCACGTACCTTTTTCTTTCAGAGCGTGGGCAATCATGGCTTTCCACAACTTCCTAATTTTTGTCACTCTAAGCAATATTTATTTTCTTAATATCTCTCCCAGTACCTTATCTACCATCAGTTTACAAAAGCTCGTTAGGTATCTTCTGTGAGTGGCATCATTATGTATCTCAGAAATTCCAAATGTCTCTTTCTAATTCTAATTGTCCATTTTGTTCTCATTTTTCCACAACATTAGAATATCTCATTATAAAAAATGGTTGAGTATAAGGATGCGTGACCGATAAATATCTGAAATCATACTATTTTATAGAATAGATTTTGATTATAATGTATTGGATCATATCGTAAAAATTCGTTTTAATGTGTTACAGAAAGACTGAATTATATGATAAACTTTCATTAAAATAAGTGTCATTAAAAAGAAAACTTGATACAAATCTTAGTTCCGTCTATAATAATGTAAAATCTGAGAGTAGTCATTATGAAAGGAAAGAAAAACTAATGAAATGAAGAAAAGAAAAAGGAAAGAAAAAATGAGAAGAAAAAGTAAAAAAAAATAAATGAAAAGTAAAGAAAAAGAAAACAAAAGGGAAAGAAAAAAGAAAAAATGAGAAGAAATGAATAATGAAAATGAAAAGATAAAAGGAAAGGAAAAAGAAAAAAGAAAAGAGAAGAAAAAGGATAAAAGAAAAGAAAAAAGAAAGAAGGAAAGAAAAAGAGAAAATTAAAAGAAATGAAAAAATAAAAGAAAGAAGGAAAGAAAAAAGAAAAAACGAACAGAAAAAAAGAAAAGAAAATAGAAAAAAACAGAAAAGGCAAAAAAGAACAAAAAAAAAAAAATAATAAAGAAGAAAAGTAAAAAGAAAAGATTACCTGGCAGCGGTGTCAACAACTCTTACCAATTGATTAACGAATATATTTGGCATCCATTCGTTCTTCTCGTTATATTCCATGCCATCATCAAAAAATATATGCGCTAAAATGAAAGAAGTAAGAATTTTATCAATAAATTCTAACAGACAACTAAGGAACCTATAAGAAATTTATATTAAATATTTAAATATTAAGTTTTACCACATGAAGAGTAGAATTCATATCGATTCAGGAATTGCAACGATAAAGATGTATTTATGTGGCTGTCATTCATTAATCTTAGTTTAACATTGACACAAGCCAAAAACGTTGGCGCCTTCAGTAAAGATCCTAATGTAAATGAATAATTCAATTAAAATAATGTTCTTTTTCGTTTATTTTTCCTTATTTTTCTGTTACAAGTTATAAGTTAACCAAATTGGTCCGCTAAATATTACGTCACTCCGAGTCGTCTAAGATGAATAATTTGCTATATTGAACCTGGATATGTAACTGTTGTGCCATACTTTTCCGATGGCATGTTCAGATGGGATTCAGGCGAACCGGAAATGTATTATTTGCTATAGCAAGTCTGGATATTCTACTTTTGGACCATACTTTTCAGTTAGCTCTTCTATAAAAAACTATTACTTGTGTAACAAGCACAGATATTCTTTTTTGCATGAGTTGGGCCATGAATAAGCTAAAACCGTGAGAATATCAATTTGGTATTTGGAAAAGAAACTGCTGACAACAATGATTCAAGAAATTATTCTCTCGAGATGAAAATATTCCAATTAAGCCTCGAGAAAGACACATGGTCGCTGTCAAGCAAAACCAAAACGAAAGTGGGTACTATAAATCTAGAAAAACTGCTCCTCCAAATTTAGAGCACTTGGTATTTCTAAGCGGTCACCCATCTAGGTATTGACCAGACACGACGTTGCTTACCTTCGGTTAAATCTCTGAGAATCGGTTTCAACGTGATATGGCCGTCAGTCCGAGAGAAGTAGAGGTTCTCCAGAAAAAGAAGACAACATCAAAGAGGGAAATAAAGAAAGACTATTGTCAGGCTTTGATTATTCGGCATATTACATATTCCATTAGAATCTTGAGATCCTGCCGCTTCTACTGATATATTAGGGCAGGTCGATTTCGGAACTGTGGTATTATAACACTCAATTTGAAAGTTAGAAAGTCTCGAGAAACAGCTACCCGACCCCATTTTATACGGGGTCTGCGGAGAATTTTAGGCCGAGCCTATGGGCACAGATATCCCACATTAAATTCGGCCTTGTGCCACATCTTATCGCGTGGGCGGGGGGTGGGGTTGGTAGATATCCTAGAGTTGGAGATTCATTGTGGAATTCACTTCTCACTTCTAGCAGTTGACTACTACTAGTATTATCGTTCATTACCAACTTTCGTTTGATTATTCTATTCGGTAATTTTTCCTAGGTTACAACGGAGAAGAATATATTTCAGATATTTTATGGATGATTATAAGCGAAGGCAAAGATTCTCTATTAGAAAATAAAGATGTCCAAATGAAGAGAAAATCACATATATCTGTTATCAATGCATGCATATTGAAAACTGTTTGAATCGATCGTTATAACGATCAAACTAAAAATGTCCAAAGTGAAATAGTTTGGTTATTGTGTAACGGGGGTTCTGTAGATATTAAATTCATACATTCTTGTTTAGAAAAAAATACATATTAAAAATTTACAGTAGATTATGAATTTTGATTGTTCTATTCAGTGACCTTCCCTAGGTTACAACACTAACAAATGAACTAACAAATTTTATTCATTGAGTAGCTTTGTAATCTTTTACAATTTCTTACAGTTTTTATTTATCGGATACCATTAAAAATTGCATATTTTGTTTGCGGTGATTCATAATTAGAATTCTGGTTTGCATATATTTCTTGCATTCAATGTGTCTAATACAAAAAATATCAACTTTATTTGGATTTATTCTTGAAATAGTAACATTTTGAAGTCAGTTTGTAAGCAAAAACCTGCGGGAATTAGGTATTTCTGAACATCTTTATCACTAAATGCTGAAAATTTGGTAAATACTATGAATCTAATTTTTAGTGTCAGTACTTATCACATCAGACCCCAGATTTCATATTGAGTGCAATGTTGCTTTTCTAGAAAAAGTGAAAAATCAACCTGCCCTATTGACATAATACATACGGCGCACTTTTACTGTTAAGGAGCAAAACCTCCAAAACCAATCCTTTAATCATTGTTAAGAACCATTTTCCCTTTCATCAGCATGGCTGATGCTAACCTCCATTGCGTCTTCTTGGTCCCACGATTTCTACTGACATGAAATAGAGCGATGATATTGAATCAAGTCTGCTGCTAAGAATGTTGGTTCACATTTGTTTTCACGTCAGAATCTTCTTCCATGCATCGAATAATGCTGACATATCTTGTTTGGTGCCCCGTCTATATATTTCGGGTTACTCGATAAAATCAAAAGCAGGGTTTGTAATATTATCGGTCCTAACCTGGCATTTCCACTTCAGTCACATTCCCATCGCCACCATTGACCTCTACTGCCTGAAGAAACCTTACCTGTGGAAACCATTATAGCATAAATGGCCAGTATTCCATGACTTAAATATGTAATAGGTCTGCACATTCAATTTTTCTCTTTTACATTGTGTATTGAGCAATCTTTTATAAAACTGTTTTCTAACTTTGACCGGAAAAAAGTGTTATATATATATAACATAAAAAATATTCAGAAATTAAAAAATCAAAATTTTCAGACAGTATTTTCAGGTAGTATATTAATATTTTTTGTTTTATTATTTCAATTAGATTCCTCGACTAGTTTCGATTCCCCGACAGCATGCCTGTCATCAGGAGAAAAAAAATCTGCTTGTTAGTAGCAGTGAACAACACGAATGAATTTACTACAGAATATATATATATATATTGAGCAACATCTAGCCGACACACTGGGGTTAAAAATAGGAAACTTAAATGATACATATGACACACTCATATCCTCTCTCCCACCTCACTTCCTCACTTCGTTAATTTTACGTATACTTGATGAGGTCCATCAAAACGTGTGAATTTCTTTTTCATTTTCATTTCAGCTTTTGGAAGTAAAAGTCTGATGATCCAGAACCCTGTTAAAGGGGTTATGGTGAAATAGCTTATTACATGGAATCTTAACGTGGTCTGCTTTTTATTCAAACAAATATATATCTATATATATATATATATATATATATATATATATATATATTAATCGGCAATCACGTGAGCCTGTATTTGCGGTCAGGTTAATCCTTGCTTTTAGTTGTTAGAAGTGGTCAGGCGAATTGAAATAATAATAATAATTTCTTCTTTTTTTCGACTCACACAATTACATAGAAAAAGTTTTTAAAAATCTTACATGTGAATATATCCGATTACTTACCTTCAAATTCGTAATAATCAGGATCTTGGACATTAAAATAATCCTGAGCATTTCTTCGTGCACTTTGGTCAATGTCCATTCTATGAAAACAAATAATAATAATAATAAGGCCTTGATAGGTAAAAAACTGAAGAAGAACGAATGTAGACTTTGGAAACAAAGCAATCGGCCATTCGAGTATAAATAAATAAATGTAAGTAATTTGCAAAAAAAAAAAAATGCATGAGTAGGTATAATTAGGCGGGGAAGGTGATCCATTGGTGACTGTGTATGTGACTACATTTTACTATACAGTCCCGGTGGTATATGCACAGACAAGAATCTGTCAGCGAGAATGGAAAACAAAATAAAACCTCTGAAACTTTGAGGTTCAAATACATGACCTAATCCAGTCTAGAAAACCGGACCTAATAAAGAAGAAAACATTCCAAATAGAGGATTTCATTGGTCTGGCATACCACAAAGTAGATTATGAGTATACAGGTACGTCGACCTTACCGGTGAGCTGAGGAAGTTGTGGAGCATAAAGGTGACAGTCTTACGAGTCGTTAGGAGAGCACTGGGAATAGTTCCAAAGAGTCTAGGGAAAAGTCTGGAGGAACTAGAAGTTAAAGGAAATGGCAGCATCATCCAGACAACGGCAATATTGAAAACAGCAATAATACCGAGGAGAGTCTTGGTCCATTAAAAAGATTTGCTATTACTTAATCTCTAGTGTAGTTAAAACTGATTCGAAAACTCAAAGGAACAATAATAGAAACAGAATTCCTGTTAATGGCAACTTAAAAAAAAAACAACCTGAACATATACAAGCCGCAGCCAATTTTTATGGAAACAGAGATGAAACCACCAAACAAATTATAAATGAAGATAACAAAGTAGCTTGAAAGGTTTACAAAAAATAGACATGACTGGGTAGGAAAGTTGATTCGTTGGTAATTATGCAAACGACTGAGATTTCACTATCCAGATCAATACGAACAGACCAAAAACTGTCGTAGTGAGCAGAAAAAGAAAAATTATTAGAAAAATTTATAACATCAACAAAATTCAATACTCGCCAACGGCGTGAAGTAGTTAAATCACTGCTATTGGTGGACTACTTAGACATCATATTGCCCCCACTAACAATAGAGTTCAACGTGTTTATGAGGATTGGGACATACCAATTACTGTTCATAGGTACGGTATATAACAGACTGATAACCTAATCCAAAAAAAGAGATCCAGATTTAAGGGATCTAGTTATCCTTAACAAAGTAAGAATGATTTTCCAGAGAAAGTATGATACATGGATGTGCTAGTAGCATAACGGTTATCGATACCAAAGTATAATTCTTGAACTCTGTTCATATTCCGATCGAATCTATTGCAAACACTTCGTACTATGCCCTTGGGATATGCACAGATCCTCCAGCTATAGGTTAGTTAAAAAAAAAGCTCTCTAGTCTGGCGAGCAACATTTTGATTCTAGACAGAGAACACTGATAGTTAGATACGAAATAAAATTTCAGGTATATATGTAAGTATTCCTGCCATGCCGCTTAAAAATATAATGCGATGGTATACAGTAATACAGGGCCGTAACAGAGACAAACGTTTTCTTGGGGAGAAGGGAGGGGTGCAAAAACAACTTAGAATTTAGCCTTAAGTTATCAAAGACAGCCAAAATGGTTATCGGCAAGAACATTTAAAATTTCCAGTACCTTTGATAGTTTTTTTTTTATTGTATTTTGTTAAAATGAAGCCCTGTGAAAATAGTACAATTGGTAAAGATTTTGGGGGAGCCAAGGCCACTTATCACCCCTGGCTGTACGGCCGAGTAATAATAATAATAATATCGTTTCAATTGCGTTTGTATATTACTATACATCAGTTTTTTCCATAGTTTATATGTAACGATGAATAAGAAGATCAGTCTACTCACCGGAATATAGATTTTAGTAATTGTGTCATTTCATGTTCTGTTTCGTGCCACATTGTAGCGCATATGTAGATTTTAGGCACGATTTGTTCGCGTTGTTTACGAATTGCATCCGTAGATGAACTGTCGATAGAAATATCATCATTTAGGCTCATATCTTTCAGGATTCGTTCTTTATCGTTTCTTCGTCGATTTAACAACAATGATTGCTCGATCACACCAGCGCAGTATAATGGCAGTAGGAACAGTCTGAAAATTTATAAAAGTAATTCGAAAGTTAATGAATGTAGTTTCAAATTAAACGTAGATGATGATTTGTGAAAAGAAAGCATTTTTGAAAAGTAGGCCGTCATTTGTGAAATGCAAGTCAGCATATGTGAAAAGCAGGTCAGTATATGTGAAAAATAGGTCAACATATGTGAAAAGTAAGTCAACATTCGTGAAAAGTAAGTCAGTATATGTGAAAAGTAGGTAGAAATTTATATATATATATAACTCAGTATTTGTGAAAAGTAAGCTTTTTTGAATTGGAGTCAGCATATGTGAAAAATCAGTCAGCGTTTGTGAAAAGCTAGTCAGCATACATGAAAAGTGGGTCAGCATTTGTGAAAAGTAGGTCAGAATTTGTGAAAAGTAAGTCAGCAAGTCTGTAGGTCAGCATTTATGAAAAGTAAGTCAGAATTTATGAAAATTAGGTCAGCATTTATGAAATGTAGGTTTACATTTGTGAAAAATGAGTCAGCGTATGTGAAAAGTAAGGTCAGCATTTGTGAAAAATAATCAGCGTATGTGAAAAGTCAGACAACATTTGTGAAAAGTAAGTCAGCATATGTAGAAAGTTGGTTAGAATTTATGAAAAGTGGTTCAGCATTTGTGAAAAGTAAGTCAGCATTTATGAAAAGTTAGCATATGTGAAAAATGGGCCAGAATTTGCGAAAAGTAAGTCAGCAAATGTGAAAATCGGCCAACCTATGCAAAATGTTTGTCAGCATTTGTGAAAAGTAAATCATGATTTGTGAAAAAGTAGGTCAGTATTTATGAAAAGTAAGCCAGCCTTCGAGAAAAGTAATTCAACAAAGCATACGTGTAAGTAACGAATATTTGTTTGGAACACGTTGAAAAGCAGTTAATTTTTAGAATATTTCTTTTTATATGCAACCACTTAGGAGAAGAAAATTGGATTGAAGAGATACTGAGAGATAGATATTAAAAGCTCAAAGTAAGATTCAAAGTAAAATAACAATTGAACCAAGAAATTGAATTTAAATTTATTTTTCAGAAAGTCACTTCTACATAAAAGACACAACCTCTCTCTCTCTCTTTCTCTCTCTCACACACATACACATCTATCTATCTATCTATCTATCTATCTATCTATCTATCTATCTATCTATCTATCTATCTATTTTAAGGCATTAATGAATTTTAATTTTGATTCGATATAATTTTCTCATGACTTTAAACGTTATTTAAATGGGTACACTTGTCTCTTTAATAACTTACTCTCTAAGTTTTTGTTCCCTATGCTGTGACCAGATACTGAACTCACAACACTTTGGGTCAAGTCACTTTTTGGATCAATAGAGGGTTCGAAATTCAAAGAAATATTATCTGAAGAATGCTGGAGGGTACAACGGCCGAAACCTCGTGATTATGGCAATAAAGATGAGGACAACAGTCCGAACAATGTAAATAGTGTAAATAGTTACAATACCTTATCTCAGAAAATTATACGTATATTTACAGGGTATTCGGAAAGTTAGTGTGTACTTTTCTAATGATATTTTTTTATATTCAAGATTTCACTCCAGTATAGTTTTAATAATATTGTTTATAATTTTCATTCATATTCTCCTCTTGTAATCTATATTAAAACATCTGTCAACAAAAATATAAGTGCATAGTGATTTTCCGAACACCCAGTATATATATATATATATATATATATATATATATGAAAATTGAATGTTCATTCACCTTGTCTGATATGATTACATCCACTCGTCAGAGGTTTGACTGTAAAAGTGACTTGATTGTAAATTTTGTTTATGATTAATATTGCTCTTTCCCTTGATATCAAGCAGTCTTGTTGAAATGAACTCTTGACCTCAAAATCTTCTAGGAATACCCTGGCTGACCTTTGGTGGGTGGGCGGTGAAACGCATACTACCTGAATGCTGTAATTATTTCAAATTAAACCTTTTTTTTTAGCTCAGAATATTCAACTCCACTAGCAAGAAAAAGACAAAATTTAAAATACTTACCTTTCTGTGAACGCCAGTCTTGGAGCCTTTGGTGTCCATATATATCTCGTGACCCACAGTTGCGAGACCCACCAAAGTCCAAAACCGATTCCCAAATGCCAGATCAACCACTGATGATCACTACCATTTCCAGTACACGCCCATTGCAAGAAGTTGGAAATCAAGACGATCTTTTCTGGTTGCAAATGGCAAATAGATATAATGGCACCAACAGAGACAGGCGTGGCCAGACACAGAGGTACGGCAAAGGAGAAGCGTTGCATGCACAACTTGCAAGCCAGTCGTGCGAAATAATAGCATAGTCCAGATGATACAATTTGAATGATGAGCGGCATATATGTGACGTAATCACGCCAGGGATCAACATATATTTGTTCACAGATTGTCTCATTGTACATTACACTGACGTTGGTTATGTTATAAACAGAACAATTGACCCTTTCTAACATCAGGAACTTATTCGGCAGGATAGCCATAAATGGACTGATTGGTATTCCGGTAGATACAGGGATTGGAGTTTTTGTTGTCGTTAAAGAAGTCAATGGCACCTTCGGTCCGAAGCTTGTCTGGATATAACTGTAGGATGTGTCACCGTAGAGAAGCTTGCCAAAGGCCTGATGAAGCAAACTAAAGTTTGGTACGAGAAGAAAAGCGAATCCAAATGTCAAGCCAACTTTCCAGGCACTGACAAAGATATAAGCCTTTACACGAACCCGGTAAAACGTGTCTTTGTATTCTTTGATAGGTATTTCCAGACAGCCAAACTTTAAGGATTTGTCAACGAAATTTTCCCACCATTTGACAGAAATCAAAATAAGAGAGATGGGAACCTCCCAGGACATATTTAAAAGCAATTGGTCCGATGTAATCCGTGTTTCCTTTCTGTCGTTACTTGTTTGCGCTTGGATCTGCGCATTGCGATGTTTTGTATCATTAGCAGCAAAAACAAGACCAATCATGTTGCCATTCGACTTCCCAGTCGGGGAAAGAACGGAAGTGGAATTTGATGCTTCCGTACAGTTGGCTTTTAGTGAGATAAGACTCACCACGATGGCCGAAGCTTGCATGAGTAAAGCAAAGAAGTCAAGTACAATGGTAGTAATTTTCCTTCGAGTTTCTTCCGAACGCTTAGTGGCAAAGAGTCTTAAGATGGCTGGGAACTGACAGAGAGAGTTCATTAGTAAAAGACATCGAACTGTATCAAGACAAGGTAGTACCCGGAACATAAAAAGACAAAGTCCGAACGAATGAAGGGATTCCACGAAAAGAATCTGTATAAGAGAAGATAAATATGTTTTAAGATCATAAGAATAAAATGATTTCCAATTATTGATTACTTTATTAATATTATTATTCCCTTATATATATATATCTATGACATTATTAATGTAAGGAAATGGTAGCCTGGTTTTCTAACAAAAGCCTTTATTCAGCGATCTAAGTAATTCGTAAATATTTTATTATACAAATTAATAATTTCTCGATTCGCAGATTTTAAAGTATTTATTTCTTCGGGTATTAAATATATCAGAACTGTTATCTTCTTATGTAATAAAACTTTTTTTAATCATTTAACCCAAGGTGATAAAGCCACTAAGACATAAGTAGCTACTCAGTGTTAAAGAATTTGAGAAAAATCATTATTAAAGACAGAAGATAATAAAAGAACAGGGATTAAGAAGACAGATGATAACGTTTGACACTGAATTTAAATTTATGTAGATCAATGTTGACTGGAAAGCAAGAAGCCCGAAGAGAGCTTCATAATTAAGAAGTGCAAGAAAAGAGACCGGTAGCATAGAAATTACTTTTACATCTAGCAATATCAACTGTAAAATAATGAGACCTTACTGTCAATCTAGTACTGCGTTTATATGCGTGAAGTCGATATACCAAAGAAGAAAGCTCCTCAAAACCATTATCACGAAAATATTGAGAGAAAATGCACAGGGAAGCGACTTTACGGCGATGGGAAAAGTGACTAAAACCGAGATGCTAGGTCTGGAACAATGACATTGCAGGTGCTTATAATAATAATAATAATAATATTTTATCAATGATCCCTAAATATATAGCGGGAGAACCTGATGATATGTTTTTTTTAAGCAATTCAGCCCCAAGCAAGGCAGAAGTGCCACTAGCACGGAAGTGATTACAGAGGATTGAGAACAAGAATAAAGAGGCGTGTTTGAGGAAAGGATACAGAGAAGGACAGGGAATAAGATGAAGGTATCAGAAAATGTCGATTGACATTACACTTGAATATTTAAAGAATATAGTTATCAGGGAAGCAAGTAAGAGGAAGGGAGTTGTACAGACGGGAAGTGCGAAAGAAGATGCTGATCCACAGTGAACGGGTGGGAACGGGATGCCAGCCTAGTAGCTCGCTTAAATTCATGCAGTCTAGGAACCAGCAGGACCTATGGCAGCAATAGTCTAAGCATGGACGAATGGTAGATTTATAAATATGCAAGCTAGATTAGTACGATAAAAATTGTTTAGCACGATACAGTGAACCAACCTTTTTAACAACAGGCCTAACAATCGATTCGACGTAATCTTTCTATTTCATGTTAGTCGAAATCTGAACAAAATTTACTGGATACACAAAGCAAATCTTTGTATTTCTCAATCCTTTCCTTATTTTATGTTCTTGAATGGCTTCGGCGCCATTAATACCCATCAGTACCCTTACGAATCAATTTTTGTTTCTATACAAACAACAACCACAATAAACGCTTGGAGCACCAAACATTGTGAAGTGAGCATATGTGTTTTCCATAATTAATGTTAATCATTTTTTGTTCTGAAAAATATTTTGGGAGAAAATTCATGAGTAAATATCGAATTAAAAAACTTTTTAATTAAAATTATTGTTATTTACACTATTT